TATCAAAAACAGTAAATACATATCACTGATGCCATGACATTAGACATATTTTTGCTGGAATCTAATATTTGGTGAAACTTCTTTTAAAGAATCGTAAATAATATCTAAAGAAAAAATGTTAATATAATAGTCCCAGTGAGTCAGCTAAATAAGTATTACACATTTCAGATCTCAATTGACTACTAATTATGACATTTAAAAAAAAAAGTGATGATATCATCTCTTACTCATATAAATGTAATCGGATATGTACGACTTTCGAACTCTGTATCACAACTCTTTTGAATAATTAGTTCAAGAGTAGTGTTGTTTCTCCGACTGCAAAAAAAACTGACAAAATACGACTTCTTATTGTGTGGGCCAACTTTTCACAAGAATTGTATAGTCATTTTTCTTCTCTCTTTTATTTTTTCATTTTTCTCTCCCCACAGAAGGAACCATGCATCCCATCTCTCCCATCCCAGAGATCGTGGTTCGATCACCATAGAGTTCATCAACTTGTTAACTGATTCAACATCCCAAGGCTTGCTACTTGGGTTTTTTTTTTTTTTTTAATGCATAAAATCAAACTGAAATTAATAAGAAATATCACTAAATTGACTAATTCTTGACAGAAATCAAGAAAATTGATTTTGATGTGATTGTCATGTGGGTATTTCAAATTCAATCCAGACATGTTGTACCCAACTCAATTGTAACCTTTGATTTGATTTGATGTTATTCAAGTTGATTCTTGTCATCTGCTTTTTTGTATTTTGGGTTTCGATCGGTGTTGGCAGTGGTGTTAAGAAGATATGGAATTCGAGAGAGAGCGTCTTGTCTAATGTTCAAATGCAGTCTTGAACCGGTTTTTAAATAAGGTATTGTCTAATGTTCAAAACAGAACTTGATACATGGTTGAGAATACATAATTGTGCCGCTATTTTTTATCGTTAATTGTAATTGGGATGTTAGGAAGTAAGATTGTGACTAATAGAGCATTTCTTTGCTTCAGTATGATATTTTTTAACCCCATTAAAGCATAAAAAATCAATTATTTCGTCTGTTAGTCTATATTATGTGGAGGATTAGGAACCTCTCTATTAAAAATTTTTAAGGGCTGCTGTTGGGTTTTCTGAGTACCCGAGTAATATTATCCATTTTTAAATTACTAAATTATTTTTTAAATTTTTTTAACTTTAAATATATAAAATACAAGTTGAAAGATTTTTGAAAAGTAAAAAAAAATTAATTATGAAAATATTGCATTTAATTTGTTTAACTTTTTAAAATTGACAACCAATTTAGGACACTTAAAATGAAAAAATTGACCACTAATATGGGACAAAGTATTTTATTATATATATATATATATATATATATATATATATATATATATATATATTTGTAGGGGTTGTTTTTATTTTTTATTTAGAGAGAAAAATAAGCCTTTATTATTTGGTGTGATTTAATTTAAAAAATTATTGTATTTTTGTAACACTAGAAAGTTTGCCGTGGCCTCATCCTTTCCATCTCTTCTTTTTTTTTTTTATAATTGCAATTAACAAATTTGTTTCTCCTTTCTAACAATTGAATTTGATATAATTTGTTATCCATTAAAATGAAATCATTTTTGAATTCAATTGTTTAGAAAAATGACAAGCAGAATTTATTGGAAAGCTTTTTATTTTGTTGGACTAAGTGACAGAGTAGACAAGATGTCTTGCTAACTTTGTCTCTATGAGATCATTCGTTTGTTATTTATTGCACACTTCCACCTACTTAGTTTCTCTATAATTTTCTCTTCTGACTATAAAATCAAAATATTTTTATCATTTATTATTTTCTAGATTTTTTGGACTTTTAGTACAAATTTAATTATATGCCAATGTCTAGAAAAATCTATCCATTTCTTTAGAAAAACTTTCAAGAATTTTTTAATTTTGAAATTCTCTAGAAAAGTGCATCACATTGTTGGAAAATTTCAAGAATTTTTAATTTTAAAATTCTCTAAAAATGTGCATCATATTGTTGAAATTTCAGTTTTTCTAATACCCTAATTTCAAAAAAATTGAAGGGTCATTTTCTTGGGAACCAGGTTTGGTTTTTTTGGCATTTGCACATTCAATTGATTTGAATTTTGACAGCTTGTATTTGTCAGTATGATCTTTGCCTTAATCCAAATCAAATGCAGTCTTGGACCATTTTTAAATAAGTCTAATCTAATGTTCAAAACTGAACTTGATAATTGTTGAGAATGCAGAATTGCGACTAATTGGGCATTTCTTTTGCTTTAGTATGATATTTGAAACCCCATTAAAGCATAAAAAATCAATTATTTCGTCTGTTAGTCTGTATTATGTGGAGGATTAGGAACCTCTCTATTAAATATTTAAGGGCTGCTGTTGGGTTTTATGAGTACTCGGAGTAGCAGTGAATTCTCATCCCTGCTGATGATATATACTCCGTCCTCCTCCCATTTTAGATTAATGTATTATTCCTTTTTCAAATTTCTAAGTTATCTTTTAAACATTAAATATATAAAACGTGAGTTGAAAGTTTTTTGAAAAGTTAAAAAGGATAATTATGGAAATATTGAAATTGACAAATAATATGGGATAGATGGAGTATTTTATTAGTATTATTATTATTGTTATATGTATACATATATTTTTGAAAGAGTTATTATTATTATTATTTTATACAAAGTTCAACGGGAGGGTTAAAAAAAAACCTTTATTATTTGATGTGATTTAGTTGAAAATTTTACTTTATTTTTGTAATCTGTATCCAAAAATTTATTTTTATTCTTATATGTGTTGTTAATTGGCCTTGTATGGTTCATTTTCGGAAACAATTAACAACTTTGGTTTCCGTTGCCTTTTTCGTCCCTTTATTTTTTACATTGCAATTAACAATAAAATTTATTTTTATTCTTATATGTGTTCATATGAAAAATGTGTTATTAGAAAAATTGAAATTCTGACCATATGATGCATTTTTCATTTTTCATATGATGCCTTTTTCGTCTCTTTATTTTTTCCGTTGCCTTTTTCGTCCCTTTATTTTTTCCGTTGCCTTTTTCGTCCCAATTATTTATGTTAATTGGGCATTTCTCATAGATTTTGTTATCCATTAACATGGAATCAGTTTTGCTTTCCAATACTAAAAATGAGGTGAATTGTTTTGAAAAATAACAACAAAAAGTTTTTTATATTTTTGAACCCCAAGAGTAGACCAGATGTTTAAACTTGCTAACTTGGTCTCTATGAGAGCATTCATTTGTTATTTATACTCCACCTCCATTTACTTAGTTTCTCTAGAATTTTCTCTTCATACTATTAAATCACAATAATTTTATCATTTATTCTTTTTAGTTTTTTTGGATTTTTAGTACAAATTTAATTATATGCCAATGTCTAGAAAAATATATGTCTTTAGAAAATTTTCAAGAATTTTGTAAATTTGAAATTCTCTAGAAAAATGCATCATATGGTCAGAATTTCAATTTTTCTAATATCCTATTTTCCACAACCATCTCGTACTCCATGTCGTTTGAGGTTCAGAGTCAAGACATGGTCAAGGAAACTTGAAGGGTAGTGTTAATCCCAATTGGTATTAGATCCAACAATAACTCTTAGAAAGACATAATTGTCATGGCGTCATTCACCCATTGCTTCTTAACCATATTTTTTAGGTTACACTTGACGCAGTATAGACACACACACGTATTGTCACTTCTTACGGTGCCAATCTTTCCACAGACATTTAACATCTTACAACAAGATCAGTTAAAATGTCTTACCATAGATAAAATGTAGCATAACACTTGATCAAAAACAGTAAGAAAAATAATTACATAGTCCAGGACCATTGGTCCCGAACAATTACTAGTTGACACGCAAAAACCGATACATTTTACATCTTAAAATGAGATCATCTAGTAAATACACATCACTGATGCCATGACATTAGACATATTTTTGCTGGAATCTAACATTTGGTAAACTTCTTTCAAAGAAGTGTAAATAATATCTGAAGAAAAAATGTTAATATTGAATAGTCCCGAGTTAGCTGAATAGTTCAAAGGAGTAGTTACAGATTTCAGATCTCAACTGACTACTAATTATGCCATTTGAATATGAAAATTGATAATTAATCCGACCAATTTATGGAGTAGAGAATGATGTCATCATCTCTTACTCACATAAATGTAATCAGATATGTTTCACTTTATCACAACTCTTTGAATAATTAGTTAAATTTGGGGAGTTCAATTACCCTGCAATTTTGGTCTCTATTGCATAACTTTATCAAAAAAGAGAGCGATCTGGTAGCGGTAAGCAAAGGAAAGGTAAAAGAAAGCTCAACCAAGCATTCCTAGACACAATAGATTCACATTCACTTACCTCTCACGAATGGATGTAACGGCGAGATATAGTTTATTCAGTTCTAATTCCACGACCCCAAAACCATTAATTTCTATAGCTCAGTCCAGTACTTGCATCAAAACGAAGAGACGGTTCAGAGGTTCATCATCGGCTTTTTACATGACTCGTGGACAATTCAACAATGGAGGCTCTCAAGCACGCCTTCATTATCCGCCATACCTACACAGGCCAAGCAAATCTCTGTCTGCACTGATGGAATAGCACCTCACACCCTTCTCTCTCCTTCTGGGATCTGACTGTTCCAGACCCTCCTTCCGGGCTTGCTCAATAAGAACACAAAGCGAGCAGGTCGCCATAACTGATTTATATCAAAACACAAACCACTCAAACGTACAATGTTGCATTCTATAGCACATCAGTTCTGAGTACGGTGGCTAGTTCATTTACGGCAGTAAAACCTAAGCTTTTCTATAGGTTGGAGTCACACAAGTATCTCCCCTGAATGCAGCGCACGGCTCAAGTTGCTTGGAAACTATGCCTTGGTTTCCAGGCTCCATACTCGTGATCACTGTCGGGTTTTGCAGTTGCTGCCACAGAGAGGGGGGTGTTGCAAAGGATTGTTCATGGGGATGAAGAAGAATAAAATACTCGTAAAATTTCAGGAATGTCAAAAATGGAGTTATACACAAATTAAGATTCTTCAATCTTGCAAATTTAAATTATTAGAAACCACTATCTGGCAATGATGTACGAACATTTCTTTTCCCAATATGCTATTGATGAAAATTGTACATGAGCAGCAGGCAGATAAGATACTAGAAGAAGTTCGGGATATAATTATATAATCTTCTTTTTCTCGAAAAAAGACTTCAAATGCCATAGTTGTAAACCTGCCACCGATGAGCAAACAAGAAGTGAAAGAAGAGTCAACCAACCCATTTTGGAGTTAGTTGCTCTGTTAAGCTCTTGCATTTCTTCTTCCCTGCAACAAACATTTGTAGTATGTAAGAACCTGCTTGTGATAAATCAACAGCAATCCTCAAAGAAATAACATAATCAAATGTTCAACATATAACTTAAATCTACTTGCCTTTCACGAAGATAAGACATCTCTTCATGAATGGATGTAATAGTGTCGTACAGTTTCTTTAGTTCTAATTCCATGACCTGGAAAATAAAAGATCACAGAGCATTAAATTTTTATATCACCAATTCGACTACTTGCAAACATCAAATTGAAGTGCATTCAACCAGATTGTGATGTTGTGGCCTGAATTTGGTGTCGGGTCGCAACTAAAACCTGATGACCCAATGAACGAGCTTTGCCTGTGGGTCATGGACCCTATTTAGTACTCTCTTGTAGCCCGATAAATAAGGGTGTTTAGAGTTTGGAGTGGAGGATTGAGAGACATTGAAAATCGCAGAAAAGAGAGAGGGAGAGCTAGGGCTTGGGTCTGAAATTTGTAATCTCCTGATTTTTGAATAGTGAATACTTTGGCCGGATCTTCACCGTGGATGTAGGCTTTGCCGAACCACGCTAAATTTTTGTGTTTTTGTGTGGTGTGTTTACTTTTTTGTCATGTTTCTTGATTTGTTCTTGGGTTCGCTGCTGCGTTTTCCGTAACACAGATCAATTTAAAACCATTGAGAGTACTAAAAAATATGTCTTATTGAGCATATAATCACAAAATTAGAAAGATGAAATAAAACATGGTTAAATTACTAAACTGAGAAAAAAGCATTGAAGAAAGATTAATGTAAACATTGAATAAAAAACTGCTAAGTAGACTACAATTGTTTAAAGTTGCTGTAGAAAATACTAGATGACTCAAAAACATATATTAAAATTGAAATTATGAAGCATTTTTTTATTTAAAAACCAAGCTAATCCTTGGAACAAAGTTTAGTTCATCTGGTAGGTTCAGTTAAGGTATATAAAAATTTCTCAAAGTTTAAACTAGTCTATAGGATTCCTAATTGTTTGTGATTTTATTAACGTTACTTTCCTAATTGCGCGTGATTTTATCTGTTTTTAACCGTGTTGAACTCTTAGTCTATAAATACTAGAGTCCAACAGACCATAGGAGTGCAGAAAAAGATAGAGAATATATTCTTTCTTCCTCCCTATACTTTCTCTGCAATTTTATCTACAATAAACCTCTTCCTATTATCAACTAATCAAGACTTGGTAAATGGACTTCCTTTGCTCACAGAGGAGTTGTGGCTGTGAGCGACTGGGTTGTATCTTGGAGCTGCTATCGCCATCATGAGGAAATAGCCGCTTTGCTATATCCTAGGCCAGACCTTTCCTTTCACTATTTATCTTTTTGCTATAAGACTGGACTGTTTAATGTTAATTTGCGATGTTATTACCCTTACAATGGTATTAAATTACAAAAAAATAACATTTTTATGGACAAATATACCCCCCTCTCTCTCTACCAACCACCCCCACCTATCTCAAGGGCCCAAATCAAAACTCAAAAATTTACTCAAGTAAATTCTCATAATTTTTTCAATATTCCTTCACTAAGTGTATTAACTATAAAAAATTTGAGTGAAGAGATGTGTATTGTTCAAATGTAAATCTAATTTGATAATCTTCTTTAATGTGGAAGGTGGCTTCTGTTTGAAGCATTAAGTTCAGTATGTGTAGGAGAGAGAGATAGCTTCCTTATATGTATATGCATGCATATATATGTGTGTGTGCGAGCGCATAAACCCAGAGAGAGAAACTCTTTATATTTAAGCATATATATACATAAAAATCATTACTCTTGGAAACAAAAATGAAACAGAGTATAATATGATTAAATAAAATTATAAATCTCCTTGCCACTCATCTTTATGGGTGCTGCATATCATAAAAACGAACTGTGATATGTAAATCCGTACACTGGGACATACAGGAGAAAGAATTTCTATCTACCAAACCAACCACCCATGTAGACTCAGATGTCGGCTGTCATCAGTGGGTGGTTGGTGACGATGGTGGTGGTGGTAGTGGTGGTGTACCATCAATAAAGGTCAGAAGATTGAAGAAAGGGAAGAAGAGAAGATAAGAACACTCTTGTACACATGGGCAAAGTCGTCATTTCACAAGATTAGATATTTTATTGTTAAAATATTCCGGGTATAAACTATAAAGGTAAATTTCATAAGAGGGGAAGTCATTGCAAGATTTTTTAAAAGTTTCTTCTGTGTGTAATTAGGCCAAACCTTGGGGAGGTCATTGTATTTAACCCATATACTATGTTACCTGGACTTGGGTACGGTGTCGGACACAGGTATGTGTCTAGAGGTTGGATCCATCTATCTATCAAATTATACAACATGGGGACATGGAATAAAAGTGTCCAAAACTCGGACAAGGGTACTTGGACACTTCATATAGGTTGTAAAGGAGAAAGAGTACTCCGTCACTAGTGCAATTTTTAATATTGCACCAGTTAAATTTATATTTTTGACTAAGTCTGTATTTTTTACTAAGTTTGCTTTTTTCTCTTTTATCAAAGCAAGCACTTGAAATAGCGTCAAACAGGAACTACAATTTTTTGGCAGCCACATCATCTTTTATTGTGCCCACATCATCTTTTACTATTTTACCTCGAACCAAAAATGAAATAAGAAAATAACTTACTGTAAGCGATGTATTTTTTTTTTTCTCGAAATTTCAAACAATATATAGATATAATGGAAAATGTACAATGGACTTGAGAAGGCCCAAAAGTCAGCCCCAAACAAAAGGGGCCCCAACAATAACTGAATCACCCTTACAATAGAAGGCCCAAAATAATAGCCCAGCCCAATGTATTTGTGTATGTAATGGATGTGGGTTACAGCTGTAATCCATATATAATAATATGATATAATGATAATCCTGATAGCTTAAAAAACAGTGAGCAGAGCACGGAGTACTATAAGATATATATACATATATTTATAAGAATCAAAAAGTAAATGCACATTTAACAAGAAAGTTTCTCTTTCTTCGACAACTCCTCCTTCAACCTTTCTGAACTTCAAAACACAACCCCAATTTTCAAACCAGAGACTACCATTGACTATGAATGGAAGCCGATCAGCCATGTCCGACTCAAAAAATATCTTATAGTACTCCTACGGACTGTTGTACTCCTAGTATTTATAGATTAGGATTCCAACGGTAAAAAAATACATATATCCTTATGTTGGGTCGTGTCGACACGGACACTCTTGCCATTACAGCCGAGTCCAGGTAACATAGCTGCTAACAATAAACACAATTGACTTTATTTTCCTTTTAATTAACATTACCTAATGTTTGGACTTTGTAGAAAAACTATAAAATGAATATACCACGGATTTTAACTTTGGACGTAGGCTGTAGTGATGTCCATAGTAAGGATATATAATTTACTTTATTTGCTTGGTGTCTAGGTAGGCAATAGTAGACTTTGTTAATCTGCAGCCGTTCACACAGTCAAAAAGCTCAAATTCCTCAATAGTTAAGGGGGCAGAAGTCAGATGCATAAAATGAAAATTAGGTGTAATTTTTCCAATTTTGTTGGCTCTATTCTTGGTGCATCACAACTTGCCTAGAGCAGTCAGTTAGGGTTAGGAAGCTGACACGGGAAGTGTTTGGAAACAACAGAATTTGGAGACTTTGAACGCTCCATAGGTTGAAATGGGTTGGAAGGCATTTTTCTTTCTTCTGACTTTTCTGTTCATTTCTTAGGTGATGGGTGTTTTAGAATGGAGCTTTCTGTTCGTTCTTGTATACCTCACATGTATATTGGCAGCCTTCTTTTTGGTGTGTTTTGGTGATAGCTTTTACTTATCAAAAGAAAATGAGAATCAATATTGGTAATACTCTAAGAAGCAAGCAGCATATGCTTATGAGGGCAAGTGGAAGTATTAATATCACTTTTCCTTGATTGGTATATAGTGGTGGCATGTGGCTGGAATTCTCATGTTACAAATGCAACTTGTGTTGTACTGATGAAGAACCTGGTAGAAATAATCTGAGGAAAACTGTAGCTTTTATATATATATATTTAAATTAGAAACACTAACAATTATAACAAATCATACACAGTATTGATGATTATAGCAACTAAAGTGTAGGTTCGAACTTGGAAGGTACCTACACCGATTACATGAAATATAGTTGCTTCAATTATATAAATGGTTTTCCAAACCTCTTGAACTAGTCTATAGGATTCTTAATTGTGTGATTTTATTGCAGCTACGTTCTAAACTGTGTGTGATTTTATTAAAGCTACGTTCTAAATTGTGTGTGATTTTATTTGCATTACTTCCCTAATTGTGTGTGATTTTATTTAATTTATTTCCCTGATTTTCTTATTATGCGTTTTTTTACCGTTGGAATCCTAATCTATAAATACTAGGAGTACAACAGTCCGTAGGGTTGCAGAAAAAAAGAGCATCAGAATATACTCTTCCTTCCTCCCTCTTTGCAATTTCATCTACAATAAATCTCTTCCTATTATCTACTATTTCCAACGTAGTTTAACCAATTTTGGACAACTGATGGAGATTTTGTACTGTATTTTCTGTGAACGTCCTCATAGAGGATTCATGGCTGTGAGCAACTTGGGTTGTACCTTGGAGCTGCTCTAGCCATCACCAGCCCATAGAAGGAAATAACAACTTTAGGATCACATATTCACGTGTCTCGCCATATCTCAGGGCAGAGCTTTTCTTACTGTTTAATGTTAATTTGTTATAATTATTAGTGTTTCTAACTTATATATACCCACACATATATAAAGGCTAGTTTCTTCATATTATTTCCTCGGTGATTTAGAAATAATCAAAGGAAAATTATAGCTTATATATATATATATATATGGGCTATGTTACCTGGACTCGCTGGTAATGGCGAGAGTGTACGTGTCGACACAACATGGACACTGGATTCAAGTTGGACACTTCATTTTTGAGTCGGACACAGCTGATCAGACATTCACAATGAAGCTCCTGGGTAGTCTCTGGTTTGAAAATAGGGTTTGTGTTTTGAGGTTCAGAAAGGTTGAAGGAGTTGTCGAAGAAAGAGGAACTTTCGTGCTCTGCTCACTGTTTTTTAAGCTATCAGGATCATCATTATAATATTATATTATTATATGTAGATTACAACCGTGGGTTACAGCTATAAACCACATCCATTCCACACACAAATACATTGGGCTGGACTGTTATTTGGGCTTTCTTTTGTAGGGGTGTTCCAATTATTGTTGGGCCCCTTTTGTTTTGGGCTGGCTATTGGGACTTCTCACAATTTTGAAAAAAAAAAAAATTTGTTACAGGTTTACAGCTATAATTCTTATTTCTTTTTTGGTTTGAGTTATTTTTTATTTATTTTTTGGTTTGAGGTAAATCAATAAAAGATGATGTAGGTATGGTAAAAGATGATGTGGCTGCCAAAAAATGTACTTCCTGACACTATTTCACCTGCTTGCTTTGATAAAAGAGAAAAAAGCAAAATTAATCAAAAATATAAATTTAACTGGTGCAATACTAAAAGTTATATAAGTGATGGAGTACTCTTTCTCCTTTACAACATATATGAAGTGTCCAAGTACCCGTGCCCGGGTTTTGGACATTTTTATTCCGTGTCCTCGTGTCCTATAATTTGATAAATATATGGATCCGACATCTAGACACATGCCCATGTTCGACACCCGTACCCGAGTACGGGTAACTTAGGTTAGTAGGTATTGTCATCCTTTCCAGAGTTTTTCTCAAAAAGCCCCAGTGCTGCTACACCACAGATTACTGTATGAAGAACTATTCCCCTTGACTCTTTCCGAACCGCTATTTGTTGGTGTTAGTTGACAAACTACATGTATAAAATGCATCACCTACCAAACACTAATCTTCACGCACATGAGTTCGGTTATCCCAGATTTCCTCCTGCAATCAAAGTTCCTGAGACTGTTTGGTTAGATGGAATCAACTAGAAAAGAAAGGAAGTGGAAAAATTGGTTTCCCGCATCGGACTATTTTTTCCTAACACTTCTCACGCACAAAACACGCAAAAAAAAAGGAGCCCCTTTTTATTTGATTTCCTATTTTATCCAACAACTTACTTATTTGTACGTAGTATTTGTTTTTTTGGGTGATTCTCATCTTCTTTGTGAGTTGTCAGTGTTTTTATGAAACAAACTTATTTTTCTTTTCAAATAAAATAGGATACCTTGTATCTTTTTTAATATAATCCACTAGCCCTGGATAGACATAAATAGTGATTAATAATGGAAAAAGAATAAAATAATAATATCGAGTTGGGAGGGACAAAAAATATATATATATATATATATATATAATTAAAAATTAAAAATTAAAATAAAAAAAAAAAAAAAAAACAAAAAAAAAAAACATTGATATCTAGTTGAGTCTACTACTCTCTAGCTATGTCCAATCCAGCCTCCAAAAATTGGTAGCCTTAATTTATTTTTTTCATGATCCATTGAACAATATTAATTTTTTTTTTTTTAGTTCTCGCTTTTTGACTATCTTTCTATTTTGAAGCAAGCATCGACCGGATCGAGGACTTGGTTGGAAGAATAGACATACAGGTAGTGTTGGTAAGTAGAATCACTTTCTTTTCACTTTCAAACAACCCAAACTAACAAAATAACAAAATAATACTTTATGGCAACTTTCTTGAAAAAAATTCCTCATAACCAAATGCATGCTGAAAACTTGATTTTTCTTTATTTCATTTCACTTTCTTTCACTTCCACTTTTCATCATTAATTTCATCTGACCAAACGAACCCTAAGGGAATATGTTTTATACAGTACAAAAAATTTGGGACCCGGGTTACACTCACAGCACTATAGCATAAATGCTTGTATATCTGACTAAGGAAGTAGTTCATACTTCATATCTTATAATACATTATACACAACAGATTTCACAATACATATTCATTGCATCTTACTACTCACTACTCAAAACATAAATCATAATTTCAAATAAATTTTGTTGCTTACATACAAACATACAATACATGCACAATAATATTTTGTTTATATATATATATATATATATATATATATATAAATCAAACTAAAACCATTTTCCCCCAAAACTTATCAAACTAATTTTTGAATGTACTTCAAGATTATACAAAAACATTTCTCCTAATTTTTAGGGGGTGAATTTGTCAATGAATGCAAAATTGCAAACTGGGAATTAATAAAATGGAAACTAAAACCTAAAAAAGTATCAACACATATTATTAACATCATGATATATATAAATTTGGTTGAAATTTCCAAACTTTGTTAACAAAGAAACAGAGTCATATATATATTATATAGAGAGAGAGACTTACATCGACAGAGCCCTTCTTGGCAACATTAGACCAGTCCTTAGCAGCAACACCAGTCCTCCAATCGAAATCGACGGTGATCATCTTCTGCGGCTTGTGATCAACGACCCAAAAGCAAGTCATGTAATCCCCAGCCTCCACCGCCGTGAAACCAAAGTTTCCAGAGTCCACACGGTCCGCATAGTGATAGTTATTCCCATACGAAGAAGTCACCTACACAGAATTTGAAAAAGAAAATAGAAACAAAAACCCGTTTGGTTACTGAGAAAATAAAGTAAGAAACTTTTTGATTTTGGAATTTTGATTACCCTGACGGTGAGCTTGTGAGAGTCGGGCATGGGTTGTCCTTCATTGGGATTGACCACGCTGTACTTGCCCACAGTCATCGAATTGCTTTTGATATCTTCGGCTATGCATTTTGTGTGACCCGATTGGATATCGAATCGGACCGATCGAGCCACGCTTGATAAAAAGCCTAGAATCACAACAACAAAGATTGTATATCTCTGAATCATCGTCGATAAAAATAGCTGTATATACAGAGAGAGAGGATATATATTGGGCTAAAATGGCGGAGACGATATAGAGGAAATGAAATGTTGTTGATATCAACGAGAATGGATAGACGAAGAAGACAGACAATCAGAGTCAAAAGGGTAGAGGGTTTTGCTGGGGTCACATGTCAGTGAAATTGTAATGCTTTTGTAACAATCATTAAAAAAAAAAAAAAAATCAATTCATTAAATAATAATTTATACAAATAAATTTTGTTAACTATATTAATAATTTTTGTGAATGATGCCAAATATTTATGAAGAAATCTATGTAATATATTGAAAATATTAAATTATTTGAACATATGAAAAAAAAAAAAAGAAAAGAGAATTCATGTTATTTGAGTTTCTTATCACAGATTGCTTTTTCTTTTCCCAAAAATAAAAATAATTGTTTTATTCATTTTGAAAAATAATTTTGAATTATAAAATTTTCTAATGCTAATAAATAAAATCAGTGCTTAAAACAATCACTTGTCAATAACGTATTATTGTTATTATCTATTAAACTCTAGAGTAGTGGTGGTATTTAGTATGAAGTTGGGTTGAATTACCACTGACTTAAAGAAAATGTTTTTGGGGAGCGGAGTGGTGTTCTAGTATGAGGTGTCCACTTTATGTGCAACAATTCATCCATAATATTATATAGAGATTTATATATATATATATATAAATCTCGTTGAAATTATTTTTTAAAATTATTACATGTTAATTTTTTCTTTTTAATTAAAAAACCTCTATTTCTCTCACAAGACTTTATAAAAGTTAATTCTTGTTGCTTTCTTTGCCTTGAATTGCTGCTGTCTCTTCAAATCTGAAAAACAAAAGCAGATACCTTGCTTTTCTCTCTTTATTATCATTTATATGGGTCAAGTGCAAAAAACATATGCTTACAGGGCATATTGCACTCCTCCCGTGTAAAAAATATTCCTAAACTATGACATTTGTGCAAATATGTTCTATTTATAAAAATTAGACTAAAATACCCTTAGCAACACATTTTATAATATATATATATATATATATATATATATATATATATATATAAAATATATAATATATTTTGTGAAATAACTAAAAAGGGTTTGACCCTTCTTCTTCTTCTTCATCTTGGTGCTAACCCAGGTCCATCGAGAGTTTGTTCTGGCGTTAACTCTTTAAGGGAGTGATGGCGGTACCACACTGAAAGTAAATAGAGGACCTACGGTGGAGAAGGGGCTTCATCCAGCAGAGGGGTAGAGCCCGAGAAAGGTAATGCTTGGCTTGCTTCTTTATGTCAGTAGTTGTAAGATTGGTAGTAATAGAGTGGGAATTTTTATTTTTATTTTTATTTTTATTTATTTTTTTTTTTTTTAGAATTTGGGAATAGGAAAGGCAATGGTTGGAATCGGATGAGTTAGAAAAGTGGGAGGGTAAGAGAAACGGGGAGAGCCCGTTCTCGCCGCTATCCTTGTCGCCGGCCTTGGTGAGTCACCGCTGCGGTTCACGCCGAAAATTTCAGCATCAGGTCGGATATTTATATCCGCATCAGGCCGGAATAAAGAAGCAAGCCAAGCATTACTGCCCATGAAATTTATTCCCGCAACAGTCCAAAATTCAGGCCGAAAATTCAGGCCGAAAATTATTCCTGCATCAGACCGGAAATTTCAGTTCTCAACCCATCACCGAAAATTTCATTAGTTCATGAAATTTCAAAAAAAAAAAAAAATGAGAGATACGTATCATCTCCACATATGAGTAATTTTTTCAAACTGAATTTATTAGCGAATTGAATTTATTAGCCAAAGTTAATGTAAAAGCATGGTCCATCATATCATATAATAGCAAATTAACAACATAAATTTATATTTTGTTTAAATGTAATAAAAATATTTTCTATTGCGTAGGCTGGACTACTGGTGTGTTCACACGCATGGAAGTATTTTCATCCATACACCGTAGGCCACTGTCTCTCTCTCTCTAGATTTGTACACACAATCAAACAGGTCATCAATGCAGCTCAAATAACAGTACCTTATAAGCATTGGTTGTGAATTATATTGCAAATGTGCTGGCATACACAGCTCATGTAATTTTGATTACTAAGCACAAGTACAGGGTAAAAAAAAATGGAGGAGTTGACGTTTAAGAATTTACATTACCAGTTTTGCCTCTTTGTTTTCGTTTAGGTTCTCTTCAGACTCATTCAGTTGATTCTTCCTTTGAGTTTTCCATAATCCAAATGTGTTGCAAGTCCAATGTAGGAGCCCCGATGTATCGCCTTGCCAACCTGCTGAACCATCCTCTGTTCTCATCGGTGTGTCTGCAACTCCTTTGGAGAGAAAAAAGGTTAAAAGAGAAAAGAGAAAATGAGTTTAAGGGCATTTTTGGAAGAATAAAAAGATAAAATAAGCATTATATTAATTGAAGAGTGTTTTCGCACAAATTAAAAAGAATAGGGGTGTTTTTTGCACACGTTTTTAAACATGGGATAAAAGTGCTATAAAATATATACTTCAGGAGTGTTTTTTGCACTTTTCCCTTATTTATATATATACACACACCACAGTATATATTGGTATACCTTAATACCTTTATATATATCCCCTGGCTGCCTAGCAGGCAGTATATGTTTTGTATACATGCTGTATATATTGATTTCATTACATTGACATAATTGCTAATGTCTACACTGATCCCTGATTTTATATTTTCTGTACATCCTCTAGTGTTTCTTTATATGTAATGAATTCGAATTGATTTTATCGACTCTCCTTGCCGGTACCCAAGGCCGGATGTGAAAAAGAGGGTGCTATTGTCAAGTAGAAAATTTCTCGAATTTCTTTGATGAATTCTCATTTACATAAAATATCTCAAAAAATAATAGTACACAAAAAACGAGGAGGAAATAAGAGAGCAATCAAAAGTCTGGGCAGCAACAACTACTACTGATCCATGTTGAAAAACCCTAGCTGAAACCTCCTGGAAACATGATTATGAGTCCTCATCGTCTGTGCATTTTTTTTTCCCCACCATTCATCTAGAACTCCAAAAGTTATGTTGCTGAAGTAATATTCCTCATCTCAGAAACAGCTGGTGGAGTGAAATTCTGCCCTCGGTGCACAGGCACCGTTCCGAGGAAGACACCTACATATCCTACTTGAGCTCCCTGCAGATAATTTCACCTTGGTCCCCAACCAGACCGAGGTCTTTCAGCCTCCTTTCTTGATAATATTCTAACTCATCCAATTCCATTTCCCTCTCCTCAAAAAACCCATCAATTTGTTGCAGCACCTTTTTCTCCCCTGCTCTTATCCCAATTGCTATCTCAAGCCTTGGATCAAGATTCCCTTCTTCCATCAACTTCTCGTCCTGCCATTCGCATTTATATCGAGTAATCATAAGCTTAGAGCAATTCGGTATCCGAAGAAATAACCTTCTACGAATTTCCAAAAAAAATTGGAGCAGAATTTTTTTAACCACAACACAGGCAAGGCTTTTGCATGGTGATTGATGCCAGGCTTAGTGTTATGTTTGATGGGACTCATAAAGTTTCAAAAAGAAGATTAGCATAAAGCATATCAATTGGGAGGTCACAATTATTTTGAATATTGCCATGCTCCATTACCCTATATGATCAATCATTGTATGAAAAATATTGTATATGGGACTCGATGATGGATCACTACATGTATGCAATGTGCAAAAAACAGATAATAGGGATTGTCGACATTATATTTGAACTAATTCTAATTAGCAACACTTGTGAAGGATGAAATGTACCTCTTCAATGGTTGTGCGGTAGCCAGAAAGAGCAGATTTGCAGGCATTTCGAACCACTTGGCATACAATCTCCTCATTGGCACGGCTAACAGGGAATTCAAGGTGGCCCCAAATGGAGTTCCTGAAGAGAGATTCCATGAGGAAAGCATCCGTTTCCTGAAGCACCACCAGCCTCAGGTATGGAAGCAGTGCTGGTGGAAGAGAATGGTCTAAATTTATGTCAAAATCTGCAGTTTTACCCAGACCATTTGACTTGGCAATGTCCACTTTGTCCCCAAAAAATGGGTCTGAGTCAGATATTTCTAGAGTTAGGGTATATGCATTGCGGTCTGACCTTGATTCAATGAATCCGTAGTCAAAAGCCAACCGGGCGTTGCTCTTATTCAAAGCATATTGGATGAAAATCTGTAAAAAGTCCTAACTTGTCAAATAGAAATACTACATGTCAGAAAAATATAATCTCATATAACCTTCCAAGGCCAGTTATGGATTGCAGGGTAGTGATTTAGGCAGTTTTCTTTAGCACTTTCCTTCTGAGTTGTGATGGTAGTTTAATTTATGGCACCCCAAATACAGATTTTGAGACAGAAAACCCTTAATAACTCTATTTTCTACTTAACTCTTACACATCCAAATGATTATGCTTTTCTCATATTTTAATGATTGCGACATTTGTGATTAAATTAGAAGTAGTTAGTATCCATGTCAATATAGGCTAGAAGCATATGCATTCAGATTTGTGGATGCCAGTGATTCATTAATATACCCACCACAAATAGCTTTACTCATAGTGGAAATATTCATTTTAACATCACTATCACCAAAGTAGTATTGTGAAAAATATCAGAATGAAGACATAACCTGCTTGCCAGCCTTGACTGAAACTGGGGACCGTAAACAAAATAAGAGATCCCAAGAGAAAAGGCCTGCTGGTCCTTCAATCTCCGAAGCATGATCTTCTGTCGTTATACTGGAGCTGTGGTTGATCTGATATATATTACGATTACAGAATTAAATTTCCAGAGAAAGCAGAAAAAACTTGAATTTACAGATAAAATACAACCACATTGCATAAATAAATTTATTTATCTGATAATAAACAGATGAATGGTTAAGTTAAATTTTATACTTGAGTGATGAATACAGGTTTTACCCAAAATATTAGGAGTCACAACAGGCATCAAGCATGCATACCAATATACTAATGTCAATTTTTGAAAAATTTGGGCATTACAATTGATTCGAGGCAAGTCCAGAATATTTACTTCTTGTTATCCATAGGATATTAGGAAATTAGAAAAATAAAGCAAATATTAAGATTGATGTTGAATTTTATTTTGAATTATTATGTGAACAATATTTTGGCTGTTTCACAGACCATGAACTTTGTTGCCACAAGTTTGATAACATTCTATAACGGGAGAACTTGAACTCTTTTTATACATTTTTAATTACTAGAAATGCGCAGTCAAAGTTGGAACCAATTTGAAGAGAATACATGACATTACCAAGTCCACAAGAGGTATCACAACTAGATTTGGACCATGAAGGGAAAATGCCCTTGATCTGAGTATCCCAAATGCCCAGAAGAAGTCACCCAATGTTATAGGGAATTGGAAAAGATGCTTATGAGGAAGTATGATTTTTTCTTCGACTTTCTGAAATTCACTCTTTACATATTCCTTCACAGCTAATGTTGTGCTCAATAGTTGGGTTCCTGCATAAAGTCAATTTATTGGAAATTTCAATTGCAGATCGTAAACAACAAACACAATAAGAGTATAAGTATATAAACCACAAAGACTGTTTTCCCAGGCTTAAGAGTAACCCTCAAATTAACTAAATGTAATTGTTAATCTAATTTGCCCATAAGAAAATTTGACTCACAGCAATTCACATTATAACAAAATTTTAAGAAAAGTAGATTTCGTGATGATATTGCAGCAATGTTTAGCTTTGAGAATTGTGGATCTCTAGTGAATTACCAGGTGGTTGTGACTTGGTACGTGACAAAATGAACGATTATAGTCATACTCATCACAAAATACAGCAAAACTCTCTTCGACCCCAGATTCCATCCACCAACTAGAAAATGTAATTCTTGACTTCATTAATATTACAGATCTTTTTTAGGACATACCAACTCTGAGTAATTAAATGCATTTGTGTCAAATTACTCATCCCAGCAGCAAATTATGCAAACTAATGCCTAGTCAAAAAGCCCATCGAAGCATACCAAGCAGAAAAAGAACTAACATGCAAGTTTGCCAACCTTCTTTTAGCAAGATCCACATGATGCCAGTTCAACATAATAATAAAAACAGAAATTCAAACCATTGAAACCCACAAAAATTCTTAAAATATCCAATCAATTTTCACAAAATACCATGCTTGAGTTAGAGAATAGTTCAACCTTGAATCTCTGATAGCTCCTCTTCTGACCTGCACTGGAAGACCATCAAACAACACATCAAAACTAAGATTTCATACCTATGGTAAACAGGTAACATCTTCAAATACATAGATATATATACACACACACATTACCCGAATGCGGCAACAAATAAATTAAATAACAATTGCAACAATGCAAACTAAGCTAGACTGCCAATATACAGTAAAATTCACGAGCAATAGATATTTAAAATGATAGATTCCCAAAAAAAAAAATGAGTCGTTGAAACGCACAAGGGGAAAATTAAGTCAAACCCACCAATATAGGGTAGAATTGGTGTACTGTGGAAGAATATCAAAGTAATATCGCCACAGCGAGTCATCTCTCAGCTTCTCTCTGATCAGAAACAGGGAAACAGAGACCCAAGGCTTCAACCCATTACACACATCCCCAATCTCTGAAGCTGAGACTGTTTCTGGGTTTATCCAGAGCCTTCTGGGTACCTTTAAAACGACCTCGTTTTCAGCTATATCTCTCTGTGCAACCAGACCCAGACCTTCGGGTACAACGCCGGGCTTCACCGGAGTCTCAGAGTAGACTACTCCTTCCTCACGGAGCCACTGCCAGAAGGTTTGGACCGCCGGCGGTAGGGGGTCAGATTCGGAGGAAAGGAGGGAGTTGACCGAGAGTGGTCTTTCGAAATGGAGGGTTTTTTTGGCTTTTAAGAAAGAGACGTTTTTTAGGGTTTTTACAGGGGCGAGAAAAGCAGAGGACGAAGATGAATAGAGAGCGAGGAGAGTAGCCATTCTCTCTCTTTGTCTCTCTCAACATTCGAATCCAAATGTTGGGGACTACTGGATGAGATGTCTGCAGCTTAATTTATAGCTTGTGGCTTAGCCATTGAGGATAAGCTTTCATGCCTATATTAATACTACTCTAATGTTGACTTTAGTACCAGGAATTGAACGGAATGAAACGTAAGTAGGAATAAGTAGGAATGAAATGAAAACGGTGTCATTTTATTATTTAGTTCTAAATATAAAATGTGTAGAAATAAAATGAGAATAATCATTTTACTATTTGGTTAGACTAATTTATAATTTAGAATAGAATAAATTTTAAATTAACTTCTCCGTAATATTCTTCTTAATAACAAATAAATTAAAAAAACAACGGTGGAAGGCAACGGCGACAACGGCAATATTGGTGGAAGGCGGCGGCAGTAGTATGGTAGTGGTGGTGGAATGATATAGTGGTGTAGGTGGCGGTGGTGAAAGCCAATGGAGATGACTGTAGTGGTGGTGGAAGGCAGTGGAAAGGTGGCAGTAGTATGGTGGTGGTGGTGGTGGTGGAAGGAGATAGTGATGTAGGTGGCGGTGGTGAAAGCCAATGGAGATGACTGTGGTGGTGGTGGAAGGCAGTGGAAGGCGGTAATGGTGGTGGTGGAAGGCAGTGGAAAGCGGTGGCGGTGGTGGGATGCGGTGGCGGTGACGGTGGTGGTGGTGGCGACGGTGGTGGTAGTGGTGGTGGAAGGTGATAGAGGGGGTGGAAGACAGTGGAAGATGGTGGTGGTGGTGGAAGGCGACATTGGTGGTGGTGGTGGAAGGTGGTGGAGGGGGTGGTGGAAGGCGATAGCGGTGGCGGAAGTTGGTTGCAGTAGTGGAAGACGGTGACGGTGGTGGTGGAAGGCAATGGAGATGGCAATAGCGGTGGCGGAAGTTGGTTGCAGTAGTGGAAGGTGGAAGGCGGCGATGGAGGTGGAAGGGGGCGGCGGTGGTGGAAGGCGATGGTGGTGGTGGTGGTGGAAGGCGATGGCAGTGGTGGTGATGGAAGGTGGTAGCGGTGGAAGGCAGTAACGGTGGCGTCGGTGATGGTGGAAGGTGGTGGCCGTGGTGGTTGCAATAAATAAAGGCAGTATCGGTGATGAAAAGCGGTGGTGGTGGTGAAAACCGGTAGGCGGTGGTGAAAGTTGGTGGTAGTGGTGGTGGTGGAAGGGTGGTGGTGGTGGTAGTGAAAGGTGAAGGTAGTTGTGGTGGAAGGTAGTGGTGGTTTTTTACTTGGAATATGATGGTTTTTTGGGAAATTGATTTTTTTTAAAAAAATTACTTGGAAATGGAATGACCATTCCATAAGTTTAGTTGTGGAATGGATTTTCATTCCAAATGGAATGGCCATTCTCATTTTAAATTGCATACAAAATAAAGAAATAGTTGAAATATGTATTCAATTTCATTCCATTTATGTACATCAAACGTAGGATAAATAACCAAACATATTAACAATTGAGCATGTAGTTGGTGGTAGACGTCTAGATAACCTTTGATGAATTTTAGGTTGACAAGTTTCGACATTTCTTACTTTGAAAAAGTAAAATAAAATGACATAATCGATAAAAGATTCAATTTACGAGCGACCCGTTTGAGTCTCCTTCCCTTAATTTACCAAGATAATAAAATAGTGAAAAAATATTGACAAGTATTGAAAGTGAATCCCGAAGTAGAAGCTTCACGTGGTTCTTTTTGAACTCCGCGCTAGACTCCTTGAAACAATCGAAGTTTTTGGCCTAATTGATTAACTTTTATTTATGTTTAAGTTAACTTTTATTTAAGTGAAATGATATAATTTAACTTTTATTTATGTTTAAGTTAACTTTTATTTAAGTGAAATGATATAATTAATTGATGATATAATAAAATAATTTTAAAATAGGCTATGAATTAGCATTAGAGTGAAGTTATTATTAGTGGTACTACATTAAAATGTTAGATATAAGTCTAAACCGACCAACTCGAACTTAATCTAATTGTGACCTAAAATTGTCGACTAAAGTTTATGATGTTGTAATAGCTAGTATAAGAAATTACTTATCAAAAAAAAAAAAAAAAATAGCTAGTATACGAAATTAAATTAGTACTTTTCAGAGTGAACGAGTGGGTTAAAGAAAAAGCATATGAGCAATTAGATGAATGAAATAATTCAACCCACACAACCCTAAGCCGAGATAATTATAATTGAAAGTCAGTATGAATCGAGGGTTTGTAAGTTTGTAACTGGTTAAGCTTGGATTTGACCCGCCAATCTAGCTAATCCATTTGAGTTGCATACATACTAAGCTTACACGCTAGGGTTGGATGCTCAACATTTGGGCATAGAAATCATCCTTCTATATCTTTCACACACACCCAAATAAATAAAAAAATCCTTACCGTATCATTTGAGTCTAATTTGAATGGTTTGACATTGTTGGCTTAGTTATTTCACTTTGGGAAGTAAACCTAACTCGTCACCCTTTCCGCATACTTTGTTGCTTCTGAAGACTTTCCCACTGGCAACAAAAATGGTGTCAAAATTCAGTAGTGGGTCTGATCCCTTCCTCCCTCTCTTCCCTTGCATTATAGGCTCACAACCTCTATTTATCATCTCACGAAACACTTGTGTTGCTTCTCAAATTCACAATCCATGATACACACTTATATATGGTTTCTCAATCCCTTCCACAATCTCATAAGCCTCTCTAACTCTGGCCTTTGTCAATAGCCCAAAAATTAGCGACCCCAACGTCAAATTATCAGCTTCAATCCCTCTCTTGTGCATTTCTTCGAACACCAAATAAGCTTGCCCAAGCTTACTTTTTTTACACATCCAATTGATAAAACCCAAATCATCAATCCTTGTGGTCCTCATTGATTGAAAAAACTTCATCCGAGTATTTGACAATAACAAAGGGTGCTTACCTGCAGGGACGAAGCCTGGATCTAAGGTAAGTGGGGGCAAAAATGAATTTTGGGGGGCAATAGTGCATTTTTTTAGTAATTTTAGTGGGGGCAAATGTAATATGTCATGGGTATATTACTAAAAATGACTAAATTATAAGGGTAAAATGCTATAAAAAAATAAAATTTCAGCGGGGGCAATTGGCCCCACACCCTTGAACGTGGATCCGTTCCTACATACCTGGTGACAGGTGAAATGAGGAAAGCTGATGTTGCATAATGTTCTTCTGTCCCGCATTGAGAAAACATTAATTGGAGCTATGTGGAGAGACTCATATAATGGGCTGAAAGCCTCTTTCTCAACTTACTTACCTGGACGGGATCTATTGGTGATCAATGAGGCCCATGGTCTAGGTTGGTGACTTCCATTGCACTCAGGAGGGGTGCCTGCCTAAGGACTACTCAAGTAGTAGAGCTTACGTCATAATTTGTGGTAGCGGGGGCCTGCATTCTTGCGGCCCTTGCCCAATTATTGAAACCCAAGTTTTTATATAGGTTTGTTTATGTGTTAGCATGTAGACAAGGTCCTGTTCTTTATGATTTGGGCTTATATTATTAGGCCCAGTCTACCTGTTTTGGTTATGGGTTTGGATTTATGTTATCAAATTTATTAGTATGAATTGATATTTATGATTTTGTATTTATTATTTTTTGTAAAAAGAAACTTGTTTAGTGTTCCGCATTGTGTTTCTATTTTGTTATAATTACTCTATAATGAAAAATCCACCCCTTTTTTGAATTAATTAAAAGGCCTTCGTTCATTGGTTGAAAACTGTACCTATGAGTCTTTTTGTAATTTGTGGTACCATGTTCACGAACATGAAAATTTTCCATTAATTTTTAAAAATAAATTAAAATTTAGCTTGCTTAGCAATCTTATGGACACTTCAAGGTGATAAGATAAGCTTCACCAACGTTAGACCGAACTGCAATAAGAAAAATGGTGCAATCCATGGCCTTTTTTTGTACAAGGCCATCATCTTTCTCCCCTCAATCCATATTACACACAAATTATACACACACACACACACATACATATCATCCATTTTATATTTCAACAATTTCCTTACAGGGCCCTCCTTTATGAACAAAGAAAAACAGAGTGCCCCAAAACCCCTCAGCAAAATGGGAGATGCATATGCAGATAAGTTTGAAAAATTGCGAAACCAGGCTATTTGCATTGCCACATAATGCCAAAGTAAATAATAATAATAATAAACACTCTTGGAAAAAGTGGTACAAATTGCAAAATGTGCACATCTAATATTTAAACACCGGAGAATATTAATTATATATTTGCACATCAATTTAAAGAATATAGAAAAATTGGATATGGCTAAGTTATTTACTGAATTTAATAAGTCAACGTTATTTTTGAACATTGATAACTATATATATACCACATAAACAACATTTTAATTATGAGAATATGAGACATTTGTATCAGACATTTGATTCTTTCACAAACATATATAGGCTGAGAGATTGTTGTGATAACTCTATAAATTGTGTTGATCTTTAAAAGTTGATCCATAAATTTACATATTTTTATATATTCAATACTCTATTAAATTTTGGCCAATGCATATTTGTGGATGTAGAATGTGAGATAGGGTTTTGGGGGCACACTGTATTACACGACAATGTTTGTGGTGGGCTAATATCCCCACTCACATATCTTCCCTTCAGAATCTTCTCAATTCAAAAAATGAATCTTTCTGTTTTATGTAAACACGAGAAATGACTAGATAGAGAAAGACACTACGTCTTCGACAAAGGTAGATTGACCGTGATCATATTATGCGGTTACTTAGAAAAGCCATAAATATTTGATTAGTAGGTCCACTAAATATGAACTCCTCGTAGGCTCATCTTGGCTGCGTTACTAGAATTTCATGACTCTGGCCAAACTCATATCTTACGTTTTACTAGTTATCTGACTTTATTGACAGGTTTAAGTGGATCCTATAAATGGACTTATATGAGATCTATTTTATCCAACCATGATATATATATATATATAGGCATGAGATGACTACCTACCACAAAAAGCCCTTTGCCCCCAGATCCCATTCACCCAACTAGAAAATGTAATACTTGACATCATTAATATTACATATCTTATTTAGGACATACCACCAATCTGAGTAATCAAGTGCATTTGTGTCAAATTACTCATCTCCAGCAGCAAATTATGCAAACTAATGCCTTATCATTAAGCCAATCGAAGTATTTCATACAGAAAAAAGCTCTAAAATGCGAGTTTGACAACCTCAGTTTTTATTGCAAGATCCAAATGGTGCCAGTTCAACATAAAAAATAAAAACAGAAGTTCAAATAAATGAAACCCAGCAAAATTCTTAAAATATCTAATTAATTTTCACAAAAATACCATGCTTGAGTTAAAAAATTGTTCAACCTTGAATCTCAGAAAGCTCATCGTCACTCTTTCTGCATACTTTGTTGCTTCTGAAGACTTCCCCACCGGCAACAAAAATGGTGTCAAAATTCAGTAGTGGGTCTGATCCCTTGCTCTTATATATGTATGCATTATAGGCTCACAACCTCTGTTTATCATCTCTCGAGACACTCGTGTTGCTTCTCAACTTCACAATCCATGATACACACTTACATCTGGTTTCTCAATCCCTTCCACAATCTTATAAGCCTCTCTAACTCTGGCCTTTGTCAATAGCCCAAAAATTAGCGACTCCAACGTCAAATTATCAGCTTCAATCCCTCTCTTGTGCATTTCTTTGAACACCAAATGAGCTTGCCCAAGCTTACTTTTTTTACACATCCAATTGATAAAAACCCAAATCATCAATCCTTGTGGTCCTCATTGATTGAAAAAACTTCATCCGGAGTATTTGACAATAACAAAGGGTGCTTGGTGAGGGACAGTTGAAGTGAGGCTGGTGTTGCGTAATGTTCTTCTGTCCCACATCGAGAAAACATAAATTGAAGTTACGTGGAGAGATCTATATATTGGGCTGAAAACCTCTACACCAACATACTTACCTGGACGGGATCTATGGGTGATCAACGAGGCCCATGGTCTAGGTTGGTAACTTTTATTGCACTCAGGAAGGGTGCTCGCCTAAGGTCTACTCAAGTAGTGGAGCCTACGTCATAATTTGTGGTAGTGGAGGCCTGCGTTCGCGCGGCCCCTGCCCAACTATTAAAGCCCAAGGTTTTGTACAGTTTTGTTTGTGTTTCGGCGTGTAGACAAGGCATAGTGTATACATCATATGCAGCTTATGGGGTGGGCCATATATTATAAGGCCCGCTCTTAGGTTGTGGGTTTGGATTGTCAAATTTAATAGTATGAATTGATATTTTAGATTTTGCATTTATTATTTTTGGTAAAAAAGAAAATTGTCTAGTTTCCAATTAATTTTTAAGGTGATATAAAATAAGCTTCACAAACGTTAGACCGAAGTGCAATAAGAAAAATGGTGCCAATCTATGGTTTCTTTTTGTACAAGGCCATCATCTCTCTCCTCAATCCATATTATATATATACACACACACACACACACATATCATCCATTTTATATTTCAACAATTTCCTTACAGTACCCTCAATGAACAAAGCAAAACAGAGTGCCCCAAAACCCCTCAGCAAAATGGAGATGCATATGCCAGATAAGTTTGAAAAATTGCGAAACCAGAATTTTTGCATTGCCACATAATGTCAAAGAAAATAATAATAATAATAATAAAACACTCTTGAAAAAAGTGGTACAAATTGCAAACTGTGCACATCTAATATTTAAAACACTGGAGAATATTAATTATATACTCGCACATCAATTTACAGAATATAGGAAAATTGAATATGGCTAAGTTGTTTACTGAATTTAATAAGTCTAGCTTTATTTTTTAACATTGGTAACTATATATATACACAGAAGCAGCATTTTAATTAAGAGAAGATGAGACAATTGTATCAGACATTTGATTCTTTCGCAGACATATATAGCCTGAGAGATTGGTGTGATAACTTTATAAATTGTGTTGATCTTTAAAAGTTGCTCCATAAATTTACATATTCAATAGTCCAGTAGATTTTGTTCAACGCATATTTGTGGATATAGAATGTGAGATAGGGTTGTGGGGGCACATTAAATTACACGGCAATGCTAGTGGTGGGCTAATGTCCCCACTCACATATCTTCTCTATAGAATTTTCTCAATTCGAAAAATGTATCTTTCTATTTTATACAAACACGAGAAATGAGTAGATGCATAAAGACACTACGTCTTTCACGAAGGTGGACTAACCGTAATCATATTATATGGTTGCTTAGAAACGGCTTTGCATAAATATCTGATTGGTTGGTCCACTAAATGTGAACTTCTCATGGATTCATCTTGACTGCATTCCTAGAATTCCACAACTCTGGATAAACTCATGTTCTATATTCCACTAGTTATCTGACTTTATTAACAGGTTTAAGTGGATCTTATAATAGGACTTATATATGGTCTATTTTATCCAACCACGATAAATTGATATATATGTGTGTGTATATATATATATAATTGATATATATCTTCTTCTTCTTCTTCTTTTTTTTTTTTTTTTTTTTTGGTAACAAGGAATTAGTAATTTGATTAAAAACAAAGAAAATACAACTGCTATGAGCTCCATGTCAGGATTTCTGGCTGCGTAATTCCCGGAGTCGAACACAAGACCTCCAGGTAATCCCCGGAGTCAAATACAAGAGACCCTCCTCTGGGAGCTAAACGGTGCGGCCTTGTTGCTTGTTAAAATCGACCAGGAGCAAACAACCCAATTCAAAGCGCCATCTTAGTTACCAACCAACAATTAGAGTCTGGTCTCTACTTTGGAAGGTTACAAACCTTATGGTTGATTGGAGAATTTTATTTTATTATTATTTATTATTTTTTGTTACGCTCAATTACAATAATAAAATGGCTACAAAAAACAAAATTCATAAAACTAGTTATCAAATTGTAAAATTTATATAACATTGAACAACAACCTAAAATGAAAAACACCGCCAGACAATTCTTAATGCCGCTTTCCGCTGCACCATTTCTTGAATACATAATAAAAAATGGGAAAAAAGAGGCTACAGCTGACGCATACCATGGCTGCCGATGAAAATTCCAACACAGTACAAAAGCCAGTCACGAATGCAACCACCATTGCTCCCATAGCAGCTATAATGAGAAAGAACGCAATGGCATAGTGGCGAGCACGCTTGTCCCAATCATCGTAAAATGATGCAAACAAGTGGAGAATTGCAGCACTAACTGAGCAGACCATAGCACAAGTATCGGTCATGACAAATAATTGGAAAGCTGTCTGTCTCGTTAAAACAGCTGTGCCTTGCTTTGGCCCTTGGTCGCCATCATAGGCCCCGGGTATGGTGAAACCCGCTGCAAATGTCACGGTTGCTATAAGTGTAGCCACTATCAAATGTGTCTCCGCAAGTCTCGTTAGGTCTAGATTTGGTTCCTTTCTTTTCTCTAATTTGAATTTGTTTCGACAACCCACCTTTGCTACCTGCAAATTTGTTCTTTGATCAATTTGAAAAGAGCAGTACTGAAGTATGGTCAAAATTAGTGAATCATACAAATTAATACGAAACACTTTTACAGTGAGATCATATGTGATCCCCTTAAAATTTTCGTTTTGAGAAGTGATCCCATTGAAAATTTTCATGTTATGGATCGTGAATTTTTTCCTTTTCCATCATTAATTTTTTATTTTATTTTATTTTATTATTATTAGTAGTAATAATTGAAATGAAAGATGAGTTTCAGATGTAAATGTTCCTCTTGAGGACTTTGTTTTTACCTATAGCTCTATTCTACAGGTTGGCCTTCTGCCAGCTTTCGGGTCCATGTGTTTGTCTTACACAGTTACACAGGGATAAAACGTTTAATGAGATGGGGCGATGGGATAATCTGGTTATACGTACTATGATGGTTTTCTATTTTCCGGGGTTAGTTCTCCTCCAAGAAAATTGTTAATCGAAGTCCTCTTAAATTCTCAGCTAGGTATTTCTTACTGTGGTGCTTGGTATACTTGAATTGGCGTGTTAGAATGAGGTTAACCATGAAAAGTTCCTATTGTTGAGATTGCAACTGACGACCTCTTGTTCATATGCAAGGAGAGAGTGGCGAAGGAAAAGTTAGGAAGAGCTCTATTGATGTGAAAGGGTGTTAATGAGGGCTCGGAGATTAAATCAAGACTCATATATTTAAGATCTACGTAGAAGGACTCACAATCCTTCCCCCATATGATCACTTCCAGAATGGGAAATGGTGGTTGAATTCTTGGATTAGTGCTGATGGAGAAGATGGATAGAGTGAAGAATGCTTGCCACCAACATGTGGAGATGGCATCCGGTTAGTTTCAAATTTGAGATGGGAATTTTTACCCCCAAAGCATTTGGACATTGTGGCAAAGGATGGAAACCACATGGAATTCTAACAAAAGAGATCTCTCTTGACATGGGTAATAATTCTACAATGGAAAAAAATTTGAGGCCCGAGAAGGAATAATGGGACTATTGGTATAAACCAACAAAAAGGAATGGCCCAAGATGAAATGAAGCTAAATTATGTATCTCCACTATCATGACTGCTAAGCAGTAGCAATGTCTGAGACTAAATGGGAAGACTGCCTTTTGGGATACTTTATAGACAAAAAATGGCGTTTCTCCACGATTAATTCATTTTTAACAAATTATGGAAGAACGAAGATTACTTAGAGAGGTGATAACTGATAAGAAATGATTAGGGTTTCTATTTTTTTCGAATATGCCTAAGCAACAAAGAGATTCTACCATTGAAAGAGGTCCGTGAAGCTTCTGATATAGGCAGGTATCCCCAAACAATTTGAATTAGAAAGGATCAAGTCGTATAGTTAGTGTTTTTGGATTGCCCTTGTATGCTTATTCTCTTATGTTGTCTCCAACAAGAATAAAGTATGCAAGGATATGTGTTGAAGTAGAGCCCAGAAAACTATGCTGGACAAATTCCATTTATGGATGAATAAGGATCAATGTGTGATGGGGAAAGCAGAGTACTAGTAGGAGTCGTGACAGGGAAAATAGGCTATGCAGAGGAACAATGACAAGAAAATGAATAGGAATAAGGGAAAAGAGTTGTGGCTAATAGGCTCACACTTACCTACTCAAAAATAAAAGCTTATGGTATGTGAAAATACATAGAAATGCACATGAAATTGGAGGAAAATGCATCAACAGAGGCATGTCATAACAAAGCTAATTGGCACATTGTGCCAATTGGTATATATTTAGTGACTCTGGGATCTTCCCTCCAAAGGTTTCGTGTTCACGTGTGTCTACTGGTAGCTAGGGTTTCTAGGGTCCTGAACTGTTAACTAAGGTTGTACAACTCTTTCTCCATAATGGATTTGGTTTTCTTCAACTAGGTCTAATAGTTTAACACCAGAAAATGAACAAAAAATACAAGACCAAAAAAAAAAAAATCCACAATGTTTATACACATCTACGTTTTACAAGCTCAACTATCGAGAGCACTTTCAGTACTCAAACCAGAATTCATAACTAGCTTCTAAACAACTGTCATGCATATGGCTTACTTTCATGTAATGAAAAATTTTCACATAAAAGACAAGGTGGACATCCTTACCAGGTTTGGACGCACATCTTCATTTTTTATTTCTAGTGCAGTCAAGTTTTTCTTGTTGCAGATCCTTCTATCCACTCTAGGGTGGACGTGTAAGGCACTGTACTTGAAGAAATTGGTACTAGCAGTAAGCATATGAGGTGTGTTTCCATCGATGTCTTTCTGATTTATAAGGCTGCTGGCGAAGGAATTTACCAAGACAAATTCAATTATTTTCATTTTCTCATGCTCCCCCCAGTGTGAAGGATATTCTGGCCTCTACTGTTGATCATCTCCCAACAATCCGGACAATGTGATAATAGTTCTTTCATGACATCTACACGGCCTTCGCTTGCTGCTATATGAAGTGCTGACATATTGTCATCGTTGTCTGTAACAACGTATGCCACGGATTTATCCAGATCAAGTAATTGTCTAACCGCGGATACATGGCCAAGCCATGCAGCACAGTGAAGTGGTCTCCATCCATACACATCTGCTTCCTTGGTTAGTGATGGCTTCCAGGCGAATAAAATTCTTATGCATTCTGACAAAAACGTTTTTTAGCAACTCATAGCAGCAAATAGACAAAATGTGTGAATGTTTACTGCAAAATAAAAAGAAGTCTCCAGCATAACATTAAATTGTGTTAATTTGGCACCTAAGATTTTTTTATTTTTTTATTCTCTTCTAAAGATAGCAAAAACATACGAACAAAAGATTTAGTTAGTGATCACTACCTTCGTCGTAACAAATTGTTGCGGCGTGTAAAGCTGTTCTTCCATTTGGGCCAATGTAAGCTGGTGAAATGCAATTTTGTAAAATTTGAATCACAACAGCTAGATAACGTCTCTCTGCAGCCAGGTAAAGTGGAGTCTCATTGGCATTATTGGGAAAATGTAAAAATTCGGGGTCTTCTTTCGTCAAAATCTCAACCACATCAAGATGATTATTTCGCACAGCCTCGTACAAGGCCGTATCACCCTCCACATTCCTCATCCTCAACATCTCCATGGTAGCTCCAATGCCTCTTTCAAGGTCAATGTCCAGTGTTTTCCCATATTCAATAAGTGCTTGTACTATGTCGGTGTGTCCTTCTCTTGCCGAAATGTGAAGTGAAGTCTCACCTTTGATATTCACCGAACAAAGCAGTGATCGACTGCACTTCTGTAAGATCTCCGTCACACACTTTGTTTGAATGAACTGAGCTGCAACGTGGAGGACTTTGTTGTTGTTGGGGGTCACTTGGATTTCAAATTGATCAGCTTTTTGCCTGAGAACCTCAATATTTCCTTCCATTGCAGCCTTATATAAGATTGGATCCATCATGCATATCACTAGGGTTAGCTTTTTGACACTGGTTTCTGCTTGGAATTAGTCTCCTTAGCCTCTTGAACAAGTATATATTTAAACAACCAACTTCTTGTACTCCTATCTACATTATCAAATGAATATGTATGCCAAAGAAAACCTAGCTTGCTATGGAGAAGTAAAAAGAATGATGTTTTCAATGTTTTTTGTCTTTTTTCCTCCAATGGTGTGATGTTTTCAAAGTTGGTCCACTAAGGAATTAATGTTGGTCTAAATTCTAAATTAATAAAGGTTGATATTATGGATTAGTTTAACAGATGTGTATAAGTTACAAAGGGTTAAGGGCTCACCAAGAAATAAGGTATGCATCATGACAGTGGTAGAAAGGTATATACTTCTCTTGTTTGAATTGCAACGTCTTTGTCATGGCCGACCGATCACCGTTGTGGTTGGTAGTGACGATATTATCATATTCATATCACCATATTTATTAGAAAATTAGTTTAATTAAACTCCAGCTAGTACTCACTAATTAATGTAATACCTTAGACAAATAAAATCCCCTCAAGCATTTCGAACAGGTGAAAAAAATATGAAGTAGGGCAAGTAACCAGGAACAAAATGGCAGGAGATGTCCACAAAATTAGTGGCCATATCATCCACAATTTGATTTTCCAGCACGGCTGAAATGTTGCTTTTTTAAAGCTGTATTATGAATGAATGGGGGCTGAAAGAGGGGATGGTCAATTCAAAAACCGCAGCATTACATCAACAAACGGCAGCATGCCAAAAAATGACATTGCAGATGATATAATTGCAGAAAATCAAAATGCACATTAGATTGAACAAGACAATATTCATAGTAACATAAACAAAGAGCACATCTGAATGTTATATGGATCCTGTAGGCACTGTTATAGAAAATTGGAGTCAACACCATAACGGATGGAACATGGTCTATTTTAGGATTATATAAAATGCCACCATTTCAATATCATGATGCATTCATTTACGATAATGACTTCCATTTAAATTTGTGCAGAAAACGAAGTTGCACAATTTAATTTCCACACAATGCCTAAAATCACACAGCTAACACATCTCCAGTGAACAACAAACACAAAGGTACTAAGGTAAAACAGCACTACTGCATATGAACATATATAGACACAACAATCTCAAATCTTTTTTACACCAAAATTTAATATTATCCCACTTCAACACAGAAACAATCGGAATCGATGATATAAAACAAGTTCCCCAACATTTTAATAGATTTTCAAAAGTGCCACGCTTAATGAAGGGAGAAATAACTTTGACCTTAGTTCTATTCATTAGCAACCAAAGAAACGAGTAATGCTACGATGCGCGAATTGGTTTTTTGGCAACTCCAATATACAGTCTCCAACAAGAACAGTATAAAAGAAATTTTCAGTAATGCCATGAACAGGAATTGAATCAAGCAAAAACATCACAGGTGAGAATTGGCAATGAGGTTGCTTATCATGTGGCTAAACTGCAAATGGCAAAGCGAATATCAAACAACACAGCTTTCAAGCCCTGGATTCTCCCCAACAACAGCACTTACAACAACACGTGATTCTCGAAACATACTTGACTGAAGCATGAACATTGCATTTCATAACTCCCTCTCTAGGAGGCTGCCATCCATGAAGACTATGAATTATATTAGGGCGAGAGATAATCTGACCTGGATCCAATTGCTCGACATGACTGCGTGCAGGGCTGATAAGTGCAAATGATGGCAGTTCTTGCATTTCCTCCTACAGGGTTCTTCAAAACTGATATTTTTTTAAGACTATTTGAAAATAATATGTCTTAACCATTAACAAGATAAGAAGATATGCATTCAGCTTTTGTATTATTTGACAATAACAAAGGTAAGCAGCTTACCTCGTGAGGGTGATGTGAAGTTGATGTACTGATGTTGTGTAATGTTTGCTTCTCTATAGTCCCACATTGGAAAAACATAAATGTGAGTTTTCTGGGGAGTCCTACATATTAAGTTGAAAGCCAAATTTATTACATACTTACCTGGACGGGATCAATGGGTGATCAAGAAGGCCCATGGTCTAGGTTGGTGACCTCCATTGCACTCGGGAGGGGTGCCCGCCTAAGGTCTACCCAAGTGGTGGAGCCTATGTCATAATTTGTGGTAGTGGGGGCTTGCGTTCGCGCGGCCCCTGCCCAATATCTAAAGCCCAAGCTTTTGCTCATCCGATGGTCCTCAAAGCTTAAGAATATTTTCCTATATATTTCTTTTGTTGAACCTCTAATAATCTCTGCTTACTTTTCTTCCTAATGTCAACCAACAAAGTTTGGATCATTACTGGAGCCACACTACAATACTACATGAATAAAAACACTAGATATAAAGTCTTACAAAAATCATGATGTATGTTTTATGTCTCATTGCTTGTTGTATTAGTAAATGCTTTTACCAGCCAAATCAAAGCTTTCAATAACTCCCTTTCTAGGAGGCTGCCATCCATGAACAGAATGAATTGTAGTAGGGCTAGAGCGTAGAGATAGTCTGACCTGGATCCAATTGCCTCTGAGCAATGAGCATCCAAAAAATCCCAGAAGTGGGAGACAATTCGACCAACCACAAAACTAGGCTGCCACAACTCTCCATCAAATGGAAAAGGATTACGAAATGCCATGGTATTATATGTGGTAGAAATCGATCCCAAACTCTTCTACACACTCACCAATCTATCCAGTTCTATTTGCAACTGCTTAACTATTGCCTCATCAGACATCACCACATTAACCTGTGCATGAGTACTGAATGTTTGTTTCTGAAGTCCCACATCGGGAAAACACAAGTAGGAGTTACATTGAGAGCTCTTTATAAGAAATTGAAAGCATATGGTACAACATACTTACCTGGACAGGGTCAATGGGTGTTCAAGAAGGCCCATGGCCTAAATTGGTGACCTCCATTGCACTTAGGAGGGGTGCCAGTCTAAGGTCTACCCAAGTGGTGGAGCTTCTGTCATAATTTGTGATAGTGGGGGCCTGCGTTCGCGCGGCCCCTGCCCCAATTAGCACAAGTTTTTCCTCAAATTGTCCAAAAAGAGTAAGGGCACAAAATTCCAGTTCCAACTAGCTATCTGTATTTGACAAGATTAATTTCAAGTTAAAAGAGTAAGGGCAGAATACAAGTCCATAAAAACACTTCAAAATGATATAAAAACACTTCAAAAATCATAGATCACTCTTTACCTCAAGGAGAGTAAAACCCCCCCCAAATTAGCCAATGTTCAAAATGCTCCAAAGACCACCAATGAGAAGAGGAAGGAGAGGAGAACAACTTCCTAATGTCAACCAACAAAGTTTGGATTATTACTGTTTTACAAATATTTGCAAGTTAACATCGATCCACCGGTCTTCTACTGCCATCTCTTACAGCACAGGAAGTCGAATCACTGCACAAATGCGCCACTTCTTCGTCCGAACTTCAGAAATCAAAATCAAACGATGTATGTTTTATGTCTCATTGCTTGTTGTATTACTAAATGCTTTAACAAGCCAAATAAAAGCTTTTAATAACTCCCTTTCTAGGAGGCTGCCATCCATGAACAGAATGAATTGTAGTAGGGCTAGAGCCTAGAGATAGTCTGACCTCGATCCAATTGCCTCTGAGCAATGAACATCCAAAAAATCCCAAAAGTGGGAGACAATTCGACCAACCACAAAACTAGGCTGCCACAACTCTCCATCAAACGGAAAATGATTACGAAATGCCATGGAATTAGATGTGGCAAAAATTGATCCCAAACTCTTCTACACTCTCCAATATATCCAGTTCTCTTTGCAACTGCTTAACTATTGCCTCATCAGACATCACCACATTAGCCTGTGCATGAGTACTGAATGTTCATTTCTGCAGTCCCACATCGGGAAAACATAAGTAGGAGTTACATGGAGAGCTCTATATAACAAATTGAAAGGATATGTTACAACATACTTACCTGGACGGGGTCAATGGGTTATCAAGAAGGCTCATGGCCTAGATTGGTGACCTCCATTGCACTTAGGAGGGGTGCTCGTCTAAGGTCTACCCAAGTGGTGGAGCCTACGTCATAATTTGTGATAGTGGGGGCCTGCGTTCGCGCGGCCCTTGACCAGGGAAAAAAAAAAATTCTCAATCTAATGGTATCATAATTGGATCTTCATAGTTTCTAAATCCTTCCTAAAAGAAATTCATTACTATGATGGTCACCAAAATTGAATTTTATCACATTTGATAATTGCACACATTGAAAAAGGAAAGGGAAAAAAATAGTAAAAATGAAGTGAAAAGGTACTCTTCTGACCTGGTAATCTTAAAACTTTTTTTACACCAAAATTTTATATTATCCTACCTCAACACAAAATGAAAAACAACACCACAAAATGAAAAACAACAATTGGAATCAACAAGTTCGTCAATATTTTAATAGATTTTCAAAAGGACCACCATAATTAAAGGGAGAAATAACTCTGACCTTGAATCTCAGAAAGCTACTCTTCTGACCTGCACGGGAAGAGCATCAAATAACACTTGTCAACACCAAAATTTCAACCACCCGACAGATAACAACAAAGACTAACAAACAAATGAGCAATGCAAATTTGAAATCATGATTTCGGATAGCCCCAAAAAAAGCACAACACCAAAAAGCAAACCAAGCAAGACCCATCAATAGTAGAATTTTCCAACTAACAGATAATGAACCCTTTAGAAGAAATAGAAACTCACAAAAAACTTAGCATAATATGAGAATAAACTACATATAAAACATGAGTAAGGAATAAGTTTTATTGAATAACTTGAATATTAACCCAACAATCAAATAAACTCAAACCCACCAATATGTGATTGAATTAGTGTACTCTAGATTAATGTCGATGGAATATCGCCACGTCTCTGATGAGAAAATGATGGAGACCCTTTCCTGAGACTGCATCTGGGTTTATCCAGCATCTCCTGGCTGCCTACAAAATGACCTTATCATGATGAGTAAGGTTCGTGTCTAGTTTGAAAGTGAGACAGATTGAGAGATGGTTCGACTTGCTGCAGTTTTGGGCTATGCATTAAAAAGGAGTGAAAAGGTGTATTATCTTTTAAAAAATGAGTGGGAATGTAAATTTTGTATTGGAAAGGTCATTGAGTGTGGTCTCTTCAAATTCTATATTTTGATTAAAAAGAAAAAAGAGAGTAAAAAATGTATAGAAAAAATCAAAATTTTATACACTTTGTCACTTTTATAAATAGTATAGATAGATATAGATATAGATTTATAGCTTGATGCAACACCAAATCATCATGTTTCTAGCTGAGGTTTCCAAGGGGAATGCAATGGCATCAAAAGAGCCATCAAATGTATAAACTCCATCAAAGCAAGAAATTCAAAGTGCACTTGAATAAAAAATCTACATTTTGCATAGTCTTACAAATTGCAATCAATTTTTATTTAATCTGCAAAGAAATACGCATGAATGTAACTTTATGTTTCAACCTGCAAAGTAGTTCCAACAGATTTTGGGATCATGCAGAGTATATATTGAAGAACAGGTTACTCCCCTGCTCCAGCATAAACATAAATCTATAGACATTGATCTATTAGAAGCATCAAAGTCCCACCCATAATCCGATCTCTAGTTGCCATTTTCTCCCCATATCTCACAAATATTTCTGCTAAATCAAACAACCCAACCTCTCTCAATTTCTTCGTCACCTCCTCAAACATAATCACCCCTTCTTCATTTAAACAATAACGCAAAAATCGATTGTAATCAAACCTATGAACCTCAAGTCCTCTATTCATCACTCTCTGCACATACTTTGTTGCTTCTAAAGACTTCCCTGCCTACACTAAACCGCCAACAAAAATGGTGTCAAAATTCACTAGTGGGTCTGATCCCTTGCAGTAACATTACATATGTATGCATTGTAGGCTCACAACCTCTCTTTATCATCTCTCTAAACACTTGTCTCTGGTTTCTCAATCCTTTACGCAATCTTATAAGCCTCTCTAACTCGAGCCTTTGTCAATAGCCTATAAGTTGACGACCCCAATGTCTAATTATCAGCTTCGATCCCTCTCTTATGCATTTCTTCATACACCAAATGAGCTTGCGAAGCTTACTTTTTTTACACATCCAATTAATCACAAGTCGGTACGTTGATAAACCCAAATCATCAATCCTTTTTCTCCTCATTGATTGAAAAAGCTTCAATGCTTCATCGAATTGATTAGTTTTGAAAAGGGTCTCCATCAATGTCTCAACCGACTATCTGTCCAATTCTGTTTGCAACTGCTTAAGTACGCCTTCTTAGACATCACCACATTAACCTCGGGTAATGTTTGCTGCTGTAATCCCACATCGGGAAAACATAAATGTGAGGTATCTGGAGAGTCCTATATATTAAGTTGAAAGCCTAATGCACAACATACTTACCTGGACGGGATCAATGGGTGATCAAGAAGGCCTATGGTCTAGGTTGGTGACCTCCATTGCACTTAGGAGGGGTGCCCGCCTAAGGTCTACTCAAGTAGTGGAGCCTACGTCATAATTTGTGGTAGTGGGGGCCTGCGTTCGCGCAGCCCCTGTCCAATATTTTAAGCCCAAGGTTTATTTGTTTAAGAAAAATTGTCTTTAATTCCATAGTGTTCCCAAATTAACCTCTATTATTCAAAATTCTCAGAATCCACCCCCTTTAAATCTAATTTTGGCATTGCTTAACTATCCTATGGACACTTCAAGGTGATAAGCTTCACTAGGGACCAATGACCACCTGTTTCCCTGACAGACAGGTTGACCGGACTACAATAGGAAAAATGCTGCAATCTATGGCCTCTTTTTGTAAAGGCCATATCTTTCACTCCTCAATCCATATATATATATATATATATATATATCATCAATTTTCCATTTCAACAATCCTCTTCCAGCGCCCCATTATCCACAAAGCAAAACAGAGTGCCCAAAAATCCCTCAGCAAAATGGGGAGATGCATATGAGATAACTTTGCAAAACTGCGGTACCAGACTTTGATTGCATTGCCACAATGCCAAACAAACAGATATCCGAGTAATGTTTGATTGCAATATAAAGGAGTGAATGAGCTTTTAAGGCCATTGGAAATCACAAGTTCATAACACAACATTTGGTTCACACTTGACAATGAGAAAGATATATCAGCTTGGCAAGTGAAATAGACATGATTGAAGGTGCTTCGGATTGGGAAATTGCATAACAGCTATAATATATTCTTCCACAAGCTTAGCAACTTTCCATTCCACGTCATTGTTTGACCACCTAAACGAGTTGCATTTGCCTTCGTTGGAGTCTCCCTATATATTGGAAAAGCAAATATATAGTTCTCCAATTAAATATACGAAATTTTAAGAATATAGATATAATCATCTTTCTTCAAATGTGGGTCCAAAACAAGTATAAGATCCATTCGCAGAGTATTGTATTTCATTGTCACCAATATTTGCATTTATATACTTTTTTGGAGTATCAACCAGCGATTATGTATGAATATATCATTAATTTCCACAGAATGCCTAATCACACCCCTAACACATCTCCAGTGAACAACAAACACAAAGGTACTAAGGTAGGAGTTGCATCACAAAAAAAAAGAGTAAAACAGCACTACAGCAGATGAACATATATAGACACAACAATCTCAAAAAAAATTTACACCAAAATTTAATATTATCCCACTTCAACACAAAGAAACAAGTGGAATCGATTATATCCAACAAGTTCCCCAACATTTTAATAGATTTTCAAAAATACCAGGCTTAATTAAGGGAGAAATAACTTTGACCTTA